TACCAGGAATAGTGGATATATCACACCACCAAGTAGCCTTAAGAGACAAGCCACATTACATGATCGATCAGTCATTTTATAAGTCTTCATTTGTAAAAAGGAATAGTATACTTATTTTACTTGTCTCATTGTTGTATTCAACAATAAAATAATGCAAAAGGTGCTTTTGTTATAATTTTAGTATAGTTACAACTATTATATCTCATTTAAAAACAAAGCTACTTTAAGGGCCAGGAATTTAGCTCAGTGGCACTATGCCTGCCTTGCAAGTGCAAGGTCCTGAGTTCAATCCCCAGTAACAAAACAAAAACAAAACAACAACAACAAAACAGAAAAACAAAGCTACCTTACAAAAAGCACCATATGTGATACAGAATAGGTACTTGTGGCTTATCTAAGGTTAAGACTAATAGGTGGTAAGATTTATCTACTATTCTTGATAATAAATAATTAAGATTGAATAAGCTATCATCTCAAGACAAACCAAGAATAGTGGGATTATTCTGGAAGGACAAGGAAGTATATGATCAAAGTTCAAAATCACAAAAACAACTAGGTAAGCCGACATATACAAATGGTAGTGTCTCATCCTGATTTAGTTTTTGTCTTGTTTGTGCAATATACTTCTCTATTCTGTATTCTCTTTGTGCCACGTACTAAATAACACTAGTAATTGTCTTCCTCATGTTTCAGAGAATGGGAGACAGACTGAAAGTCTAACGGCCCAATGATCCACTGTTCTCTAATCTATGGTTCCACTTGGCCCATTTTTCAATGTGTAGATTTTATCACATCACTAATCCCTGCTTCTCACTGCCTAATTTATCCTTTTCTCTCAACCAAAGCCTTCGTGAATTTGGTCTATAATTCACCTCTTCTGCTGTGCCTGTGAAAGATCATAAAGTCAAATACACTTAACTAAGCATACATCATAGCTTAGCAACACAGTACAATACAGAATATAAGTTTTTTACCCTCGTAATCAAATGGCTGACTAGGTTCTTTGGCTTGCTTCTCACCATCAGAAAATACTGACATATTTCAAATACTACTCACCCAGAAAAAAAAACAAAATTCAAAATACAGCTCCAACTGAATGCACATATGACTTTTGTATTATTATAAACTCAAAAAATTCGTAACTCAGGAACCAGTGTAGAATACAAATCATCTGATTTCCTTTTTGTTATAAGCTATCTTTAGTATTTCTACCTTCAGGAAAACATCACTAATCATGTAAGACAAAAAAATGTGCTTCTTCCACAAACTACAAACTTTCTTTTCCCACTGCCTAGAATGCTCAGACCACAGCTCTTCAACCAGCTGGCTCTTGGTATTATTCAGGGCTGCTCATTATTCAGTCAGCTTCCCGGACTTTCTTTGATTATACAATCCATGGTTGTCTTTCCATTTGTCTTTATCACATTACTCTGTTTTACTACAATCACCTCTCAGATCAGTATCTGAAACTGATTATTTATATGTTATTCACAAGTAAACACATTAAGAGTCAGTTAATTTCAAAAGTGAAGTTACTACATCCACCCACACCAGGGTGTAAACTGCATAAGAAAAGGGGTTCACTGCTGAATCCTCAATACTTACAAGTTTCTAGCACAGAGGTGCTGAACACATACCTTCTGAATAAGTGAATGAATGGATTGACATAGCCTATCCTTTACCTATCTTTTTAAGATCTTTGAAAGCAGGAACCATAACTGCCTATTCAACAACGCAATCCCAGTGCCCAGCAGAGTTGTATAATAACTTAGTGGGCTATGCAGGTGAAAGTAGACACAGTAAGAGCACCATGGAGGCCGAGACTGCAGTGATGCTGCCACAGAGTAGGGGATGTCCATGACATTTCTCAAAGGGTCTATGACACCTACTCAGCTGACACCTTCACTCCAGACTTCCATCCTCCATAACTGCAGTACAAATTTCTGAGTTGAGCCATCCAGCTTGTGGTACTTTGTTATCCCTACTCTACTACAGCCGTATCACCCTGAACATGCCCAATCTTGTCTGACCTTGGAAATTTTGTTATCCCTGCTTCAGGATGTAAATTTACCAAGACTCCTCTGGTGTGATCTGACTTTCACTGGACTCAAGTCCGAGTACACTAATGGCTCATGGACTGACTATATAACTGTGTGTCTACAACTAGGAGTGGACTCATGTCATGGGCAGCCATTATGTAGGAACTTGCAGTAACCAAGGAAGAAAAGTACTGATCTGGTCACTTTTACAAGTATCGTAAAAACAAACAAAACAAAAAATAATATACTAGGCTGTGAATGGAATTAAGGTAGGAAAGGAGGGAGGAGGTGTATGTGTGTGTGTGTGTGTGTGTATGTATACACTGCACCATGTACATGTAAAAATGAACTTTTTTACTATAGGTTATAATCCAAGGTTTTTAAAACATTAAATTCCAAAGAACAAATCACAAATCAATCAGTTACTCTGTCATTTACTGAAATGGCTCTTAACTTTTAGTTAATTTTGATCTCCCACTAGGAAAAATAGCTCAAGATAGAAGATGAAAAAAGTTCATCTATCATCCCCTTCAGTTTCCTAACAATATTCCTATTCCTAAATCCCTAACAACCTTATATTCTTTGAAAATAGAACAGCTTCCTCCCCCTATTACTTCCTTTACAGTGATTAGCAAAATATCAGCACACAAGCCAGGTGTGATAGCACAAACCTATAATCCCAGCAATCAGGAGGCTGAGGAAAGAAGATCATTGCATGTTGAGACCAGCCTGTGCTACATAGTGAATTGAAGGCCAGCTTGAACTTCACAGCGAGGCTTTGTCTCAAAACAAAACAAAATTTAAAAATATTAGTACACTGAATAACTCAGTAAAGAAGTTGCCCTCCCATATAATTTCATAAAAAAAAGACAAAACATATGTACATTAAAAAAAAGAGAAAGAAACCCAAGTACATTTTGAATCTGAATATTAACACATTTTGCTAAATGCACGATGGCACAGTCTTGGAGAGTATGAGTCATGTTATTCAAATTGATTCAGGATCTCTTCCTCTCCTCTGAGATTACTCCTGGAACATGGGTCAACACAATCTCTTCCAAAGGGCAAACTTCAGGGTGCTGCCTTTATCTGGGATTTTTCACTTCATTCCCCTATCTTCACCCCACAAAAAAGACACCAGGAAAATGGCAGGTGCCCTTGTAGCGTACAAAGCCCTTTCTTTCCTCGCTTCCTCGTGTGCCTAGAACAGGCCAAGCCCACGGTTTTCAAATTAAACTGTTGTCCACGATGGGTTTGAACCTTGGCCTTAGCATCAACTCAGTGGGGAACTCTGAGTCAGTCACCCCAACCTCCCCCTGGGCTTCAGTTTCCCCATCTACCCACAGGCACTATTTCCACACAGGGTAGGTATTACTCTTAGAGGCTGCAAGAGGACAGAAGTCATGCAGCCTGAGGCCAGAGGAGGATGGAGGGAGGCTGACGGAAGACAGGCCGAGCTGGCTGACAGGGCGGGAAGCTGCAGCGGGAAAGGCGGGAAGCGGCGGAGGCCGGCGAGCGCGGGTAATAACAGCCCTGGCAGCGACAGTCAGGGCCCTTTTTCCACCTCACCTACCCCGCCGCCCTTCCCCAACCCCTCACCTCGCTTGATCACATGCATCGCAGCTAATGGCTGGTGCGCTGAGGAGTTCGAGATCAGGCTGCAGCTCCGAAGCGCCGGCGGGATCTAGACGGCGGCAGAGGGTAAAGGGTCGGACTCCAAGGGACTGCTCCGATGCAGGGTCTGGGATTGGGGGTGGGGGACAGACAGCACCTCCCTCACCCGAGTAGAGGCTCGGCGATCCGAACTTCTTCCCGCTCCCGCCACCCGTGACGCACAGAACGGCGCGACTGGAGCTTGAATGACGTTTCTGGACGCTACCAACGCCCGGGGTCGTGTGGGCAAAGACCTACTAACAGAAAGTCAGGCTTCTGTGCCGCCATGTTGAGTATGGGCAAGGCCAAGAGGCTGTGGATGTACCACGGCTCTAATGGATGTGGGCGGGCCGTGCGGGAACGCTGTTCTGCCGCCGCCATGTTGGGTGTGGGCAAAGCGGAATCCGAGGCCGCGGTACACTAACAGAGCCCGAGGAGTCCTCCAGGACCGGCCCCACCACGTCACCCGCGAGCACCCCCTAGATTCCTACGGTGTAAATATTTCCAAAATCATAGCAAAAACTCAACCACCCTGAACACTTTTTCTTGACTGTTGTGATAATGCCGAAAATGCCATCAAATATTGGCTGTACTTTTAAGAGCCGAGCCAGGGACAGGTGGGAGCCCCAGGGACCTTAGGTGGGCCAGAAGCCTGGCTCTCAGTTGGAAGAAAACCACGCTAGGCCAGTAGCACCTGAAGTTTATCCTGACGCAAATAAGAGCCCTGTGAGATTTTTAAGCAGGGCCATGACCCTTTTGCTTTTAAAGATCGTGGATGGTAGCAGAAGGCTCAGCAATAAGGAAGATGTTGCCTGGTGGGAGTGGGATGAAGTTGGTGACTGGCCATGGATGGTAAGAAGAGGTAAGAGTCCTAATATACAAGGCTGACACAAAATGATCTTTGTTAAATCTTATCTGTGGCATCCTTTCTCTAAATCTTGTCACAACTTTTCACTGGTTCCTCACTGCCTTCCAGATGCTGACAAGCTCCCTGTGAAGTAAATGCAAATCACTGGTCACAGATGAAGCTATACAATCAAGATAGTCCCAAAATAGGATTGTCAGATTTAGGAAATAAAAGTTTAAAAATTGTATTAGACATAATTAATCTAAAAAGTTGTTTATCTGAAATTCTAACTTAATTAGGCATCCTGCATTTTTTTAGGTAACTACCAGGATAACTTTTGGGTATGTGCATTAAATGCTTCATTTTCCCTTAGCAGAGGTAAAATAGTCTCTTCTTCATCTTTGTCTGTTAAACCGCAGAGAACACAATGAAAGTCAAAGCCAGCAAAATTAAAATCTCCTACATGCTTTATTGGACTTCAAAGTCTTATGAAATAACACAGAAAAACCCATGTGAGGGTGTCCAGAGGGTACAAGGCAGTCTGCAGCCCAGCACCCTCCTAAGACCAGCCCCAGGCCCAAGATAGGATCCCAGGGTAAAGGCATGGCAGAATGGAGCACAGGGAAAATACCTTTACAGCCATAGCAAAAACAGTAAGAGAGTTGTGTAGAGGATGGGCCAGGTGGGGGGAAGTGGTCACACAGCAGCCTTCACATATACCATCTTCCTTCACCACCCCTTCCCCAAATCAATTGTGTCCTTTTTGAGCCTTTGGCCCAGGAAATGCAGTAACATGAAAATGGAGTCCAACAAGGGGAATATGCTGTGCAGGCACTTGGGAAATTCAGGAGATTTCTTTTTTCGCTTTTCAACTCTTTTGTCTTTTGGTTCAAATAAACAATATTCTTACCCAACCACTCCAGGACTCCACAAGAGCCCTACATCACAACTACAGCTCCCTTAGCCAGGGGAGCCAACTGTCCTGAGCCTTAGGAGTACTGATACTTGGGGAGCTTTGGGGCAGCACCTCTAAGAGACAGATACTCCTGCAGTATGGGGGAGCAAGGGGAAGGAGGAGGCAGGTGTAGGCAGGACAAGAGAGAAAAGGTGACTGCCATATAGCCTATGGCTCTGGCATCCTCTCAACCTCCAACTAAGAGAGGTCTCTCCTGATCCATCCCAAGCACGGCCTCTCTTCAGAACTCTGGTAGCTTGCTCTCTGGGAATTGGTTTCACTATTTCATGGGATCATGGAGGCCTGAGTGAGCTCTAGGGTGAGGTTCTTTCCAGCCCATCACACTCCCAAAGAACAAACCCCAAAGATTAGGCCTGTCGCCCTAGTCTAGGGCAAACAGAACCACTATGGGTAGGGTGAAGAGACCTGAGGCACAAGTGTCAGAAGTTACTCCTATCTTCCCACAACTGCTGGGGAAGCTAGGGAGTGTAGGAGGGAGGAGCCTAAAAGCAGGAGACAGAAAAAAACAGAAAACCAAACCTCAAAACTGGGACAGCAGAGACAGAAGCTGGACCCCAGAGGTGGAGCTGGGAGCTGAGGGAACAGCAACTAAGACATGCATTGAAGTGGAGGGGCAGTGACAGCAGCAGCCCATGGTTGGGAGGAAAGCAGGGCAGGCAGGCCATGGTGATCAGTTAATAAATTAACAATGTAGGACCCAAGGATGAGGGGGGTAGGTATGTACAGTGCCCAGACCCCAGGGCTAGCCCCTGCATGCCCCGCTGTAGGGGCCAGATATCTTAAGGGAGGAAAGGGAAGGGAAGGCAAAAGACTCAAGGAAGGACAAGCTGTCTCACCACTGCCACTCCTGCCTACTTCTTAAGAGGCTTCTTAAAGATTTTGAGGGGAAACTTCTTCCTGCCTGGGCTGGAGTCTGTCTCCTCACCAACAGAACCATTATCCTCCTCAGCCATGGCCTTCTTGCCAGCCAAGTGAGGAATGCGTGTATTTCGGCTGGCCTGCAAGGCTCGGCTTTCCCCAGCTGGAGACGGTGTGTCTGGGTCAGGGGAACTGGGGCTATTAGAACAAGAAGAATCCAAAGCTGGGGAGCCACCAGGTGGGGCTGAAGGGCTCAGCTCTACCAGGCTGTGGGCCTTGTCCAGCCCATGGTTCAGCGCCAGTAATGCCTTCTTGGCCAGGGAAGGGCTGTCAGGCAGTTTCTCCACCAGAGATCCTGGGTGGACCCCCTCAATCAGCCGGTGGCTGCCATTGGAAGACATGGCATTGAGAGCCTCATCTGCAGCTCGGCCCATCTGAGGTGGCTTGGGGACCATACGCTGACGGTCACTCGTATGGAGGGAGGACTCCGAATCGGAATGGGTCAAATCCCTGCAAGACATAGGACAGAGAGGAAGAAAAGGACATATATAGGATAGGGAGAAGGGAAAAGGTAAAGAGGAGAAAGGGACGTGAGACAGTAAGAAAGGGTGAGAAAATGAGGACAGAGAAAGGCAGGAGAGAGAAATAGAATGAATAAGCAGACAAGAGAAGAATAAGTAAGGAAGTTGAAAAGCCATCAGTACAGCATAAGAGGAGGCAGGAATAGGGAATGGGAATAAATTGGGAGAAGAGACAAGGAGTGGAGAGGAGAATTGTAGAAGAAAAACAAGAGAAGGACCAAGGGGAAAAGGGAAAAGTAATGGAAATAGAAGAAATGGACAAAAAGAAACAAAAACAAATGTCAATATACCATCATCTGTCAGGCAAAGGGCTCTGCAATGCCTGGACCCCATTCCTGCTGAACACAATGGTCTTAAACTGGTATAACCATGGGCTTAAATTCTATAGACATACTCCTCGATTAAAATTTCTGTATTCCATAGCTGGCCAGATTGCTTAGGATTCAATCCTAAAATGACATAGAGTTTACATGCTCCTTGATTCACCATTTTCCATGTCTTCCTCCCCCACTTATTCCTGTCACACCCTGGGATACATGTGGACTGGGCCAGGCCCCAAGGAACAGGGTACATGCAGTCAGTGGGCCTGACCCAGGCTGGGGAGGAGAAGGTTAGAACAGCCTTGCAAACAATCCCTCACCCACTCCCAAAAGGCCAAGATGCTTCCTCTTTGTACCCTCCTAAAGACTTAAAGACAGTCGTAACAGAGAAGTGTTGCAGAGTTCAGAATGAAGTCTACCATGGCAGCGGGAAGGCTGGAATTTTTTTAGAACTCTGCTGACAGGGAGAATGTAGGGCGGCATAGAAGACAAGCTGTTGGCCTTTAAAGGAGGAGTCAGAAAGTCTCTGGACTCTTCTATGTGATTTTGGATAAGTCACCTAATCTTGTCCTCAGTTTTGGCCCAATGAAGATCGTAACAGTCCAATTATCTGACAAGACTGGAGAATCAGAAAGTTGGCAAAGCAATCAGAAGTATATAAAGTATCATGGGAATGATGACAAGGCCAGCCAAGCTAGGAGGCTCATGTGGGGGCCAGTCACAATAGGCTTTCTTTGCAAGAATGAGTTAGGGGGATATGCCACTGCACACTACACATGCACACATGGAGGCTAATCCATGAACTTGAGACCCTTTCAGGGACTGGCTGTTCCTAGGAAGACTCTGAACTAATTCTGATGCCACTGCTCTTGCCTCCACAGACAAACCGATATAGATATGGTCCTCTGCCAATCCTGAGCCCTTCTTCTGCTTCCCCAAAAGCTTGAGAACCCACTGCACAGGCAGAGGAGAGGGGTAGAGGAAACGTGTAAACATCTGACATAGGAAGCAAAAGAAACTCTCGTGAGTGGGAGAGAACATCATAGGACCTAGGAAGAAGGAGACCAGGGTCAGAAGTTATGGAGGGTACCAGTCTCCTTACATGAGTATAGGCAGAGTACAGCTCGAAACTATCGCAGGTTTGATCTCAGAGAATAACTCACTAAGTAGCTACCTCATGGGCCAGTACCTTCCTGGACAGCAAAGAACAATTCCAGCTTCCATGCTACAAAAACTGTTTTGGTCAGAGAATCCAGTGTTTACAAATATTCACTCTTATATTTGGCTTTATTATATATTTGGCACTGGTCCCAGCTTCTATTTAAATCTGTCCTTGTTTCTCTAAGCCCCATGATGACTCTCCATATCCTTTCTTCTCTATGTACATACAAACTACTGAGCAAGGTACCAAGGAAGCCCTGGGGAGCAAGCACACTGAGAAAAGGGGCCCTCTAAGCTGAGAAGGTAAGGATCCTAGGAGCCTACGTTTCTAACTAAAGGAAAAGAGGTCAAAAGCTTGGGGCCCTCCCAGCCTCACTTCGGACCCACAGTCCCATTTGGTCTTGATTTCCATCTTTCTATGCTTCTGTCATCAACCAACAGCTGAGACTGCCGAAAAAAGGTAAGAATCTGGGAGGATATCTGGGTAGGTTAAAGAAGGAAAAGGCCCACTGAGGCAGGCTGACCTTCCCTACCTGAATCTCCGAGGCCCTTAAATCCCTCCCCAAAGGCTAGGCTGCCTTGGATTCCCATCCCAAGTTACTAACCTTACTAGAGAGCCTGTTTGCCTTTAGAGATGATCCTCTGGTGCATGGGGCAAAAGAAAATTAAGTAGTGAACAGGCCAGGTGGATGCAGGTAGCTCCCCATCCTGCCTCCCCACTGCCCTCAGCTTAGGCCTTGAAGCATGAAATTCACATCATCCCTAGTTCCCAAATCCAATTCAGTCCTCTCCATCTGTACTGGGAGGAGGAGTCTCCCTAGGCACCCAGATGAAAATGAGAATGAGAGTGAAGATGGGCAGCTCTGCTGAGTAGCAATCCTAGCAAGGGCAGTCCCTTTGTGGAAGAGAAAGGAACAGCCCTCCAGGATAATTATTCAGAGGCTCAAGGGGCACAGCTAGAGAGAGAGTATCCAAAGGCAGGACCAAAGAAAAACAGGGTAAGTGTGCTGTAACCCAGCAGCCAGGACTGGGTTATGGTTACAACTACAAAGCTAAAAGGCAATTCTAGACTAGAAAGGGAGACTTTCTAAGAGTCTTCTAAATTTGTTCTAGGCAAGGTCCAGCTTTGACCTTAGCCTGTCACCTTGAGGTATTAGCAGGGAACTTCCCTACAGCTGCTAGATCAGGCTGGGGGATAAAGCCTTTCACCAGTTGTTTTCCAGATAACTTACTGAGACCTTGTGGAAGAATAAAAAACATTTAACAGAGTGTCCTGAATGAAGGTCAACATTCTGCTTTGAAGTAGCTGTAGGTCTCAGGAGAAATTAAGTAATCTTTTAGAACCTTTACTTCCTACCTTAAAAATGAGTGTTTTAATACATGCTCAATTTTTCTTGTGCCAAATCCCCAAACTTATGCTCTCTCTTCTGTACTCTAATTCCACGAAGGATACTAAGCCCATTTAATCACTCAAGCTAAAAACCTATGTGTCATGCTACATTCTTCTCTTTCTTACATATCTTCGACCACTTAAGACCTCATCTACTTCATCTAGTGGTCTACTACAATGACTTGCAAATTCCTCGAGTCTTCTCTGTCCTTACTGCGTACAGGCCAATATAATGTTATATCTAACATGCAAATGTGACCACTTTAGTCTCTTTTAGAAACCCTTTTGCAACTCTCCACCTCCTAAAGGATAAAGGCCAGAACTCTTAGCCTTCTATCATTCCAGCCTCATATACTTCTTCCTACCAACACATAACCAATATTTTAATAACAAATACATCACATCTTAGGCCTTCTATTTCCAGCCTCATATACTTCTTCCTACCAACACATAACCAATATTTTAATAACAAATACATCACATCTTACACTTCCACATCTCTGATCATAATGTTTCCTTTGCCTAGAATACTTTCTCCTTTCCTTGCACACAGGTGTTAATACAAGTCTCTTCTCTCAGGTGAAAGTGAAACATTCCACCCAGGTACACACTATTAATATTAATCATTCCTCCTTTCTTAACATCCCCATAGCACTTAGCAGATTGTCCCACAATTACTTATATACCTCTCCCAGACCACACTGTAGTTCATGATGACCAAAATTGTAACTTATCATCTGTGAATCCCCATGCCCAACAGAATCTGGCACAGAGGAGATATCAGTAAGTGTTTTGTTGAAGGAGTAAAAGAAATAGGGGCCCCACTAAAACAACTGATGTAAAAGTGCACAGTTTAGGCAAAAGTGCTATAGGATCATGAAGAAAGTAGGTTGTTACTCATTTTTAGAGTCAGCAAATCCCAAACAGAGAAGGAAGGTAGGTGTGGGAAATTAGGCTAGCCTTAAATAGGAGTCTGACATGGGAAAGAACAGGACAAGGGAGAAGATTCTCCACAGCACATGCCTCCAGAGTTGACCAAGCAGCAGCCAGCAGGCAGAGATCAAAGTAAAAGCAGCAGAAAGGGAAGGAGGAAAGAAAAGAAAGACAGCTAATACCCCAAGCTCTCTGAATGCCCAGGCATCACAATGGAGCTGCCAGAAGGGGGCGGGTCAGGGTGGGGATCCGTCTGAAGGAAATAGGAAGTGCTGTGGTGATAATAAACAGGGTAGGCATGGACGGTGGTGGTAGTGGTGGTGGTGGTGGTGGTGGTGGAGGAGGTGGTGGTGGTTGGTGGTGGAGGAGGTGTGGGTGGTGGTAGTGGAGGTGGTGGAGGTGGTAGAAGAAGAGCAGGAAGAAGCAGAGGCAGATGGAGGGCTGGTCCCGTGGCCTTCAGAACTGAAAGACTGTCCAGATGAAAGACTGCGCATTCGCCGCAGAGATACCCGGCTTGTCAAGAAGTGGCCAGCCTCGCCCTCTACCAACCTCTGAGATCCCAGGCCATGTTGTGGCTCCGTCAGGCGCTGCCGGACACTGCTCTGCAGACTGGGGGCTGTAAGAATGAAGAAAGAATGAGGAAGGGTCAATCCACTTTGGGTGGCAGACAAGCAGGTGCCCATAGACAACTGGAGACCATTCTGGGCCTTTGATACTCAATCTGGTGAATGGAGCACCACCTCCCAGAAACCTCCCACCAGGGGGTCCTGAAAGGATGGGAAATTGAAGATGAGGTGCCCAGGTCAGTTTTAGTGACAACTCCAGAGGAAGGAGACCTAAGGCCAATGTCACTACAAAGGGAAGTGGCAAGGCAGTTAGTAGGAGGACACAGGCAGGGCAGGGAGGGGCAAGGGATTGGGACAAGGTCCGGGAGAGCACTAAGAACCAGCCTTTTCAGAAAGCCAAACTCAGGAAATAATTCACAGTTTAGACAAGGAACTACATAAAAACCTGTTCATCGGGTCATTATTAATAACCATGTGAAAGTAAATATAAAGGTGGGACAATGGGAAAAATTATAATATATCCTCTTGCTGGAAGTCTATAGAGATGAAAAGTGATGCTTACAGCAAGATTTTAAAAACAGCAAATCTATTAAAATGCTCAGGGAAAAAATATATAAATTATATTAATAACCCTTCAGCATCAGAATATAAAGCACTAGACTTTGAAAGTAGGCCTTTCACTTCTAGCTATGACCTCAAGCAACTTAAATCTTCATCTTAATTCATAATTAGTAAAATTATGCAAGGCTATTCTGAGACTTCAAGATAATATCTTTAAAGTATCTGCCACAGGTCATGGCACGCAATAAATGGTAGTAGTCTTAATTATCTTCACTACATTAAGAAATATGCCACAGACATAAGATTGAAATAACAAGTGTTCGACTGTGGTGAGACTGTGGGTGCTCTTTTTAGGCTACTATATGCTTTTTTCTCTTCCCAAATTTCCTCTAATAAACATATAAACAATAATGATCCAGTTCTTGGATCAAAGGTGTAAATGAGGCTCTTGGAAGACAATAACCATCAGGCCTGGTAAAGGGGTAACTGGGCATCAGGTAACTCAGGAATGTATCAGAGCATCCACCTTGGGGATGGCCCCTAGGCCCCAGTGGAAAGGAGGCACAGACCTCTGTCTCTTCCTTTCTACCATGATAGAGGGGCCACCCTGCTTTCTTCCTTAAAGATGCAAGAAAGGACCAGGTTACAAGGGAGGACAAAATCCTCATAAAGGTCACCAAGGAGCGAATACAGTTGCACAGTAATGAAGAGTTGGGAGACTGGGCTTCTACAGTTGGTGAAGTGGAAGTCTGTAACAGGTAACAAAAGAGGGAGCAAGAAGGCAGGAAACACTGAAGAAATGGGAGAAACATGAAAAGAGAAAAGAAAGAGTTGACCTTTCCTGTCCTGCCCTCTTCCTCTCAGCCCAGCTAGAAGGCCACCAGGACACTTGTGTAGCTGGGCTGAAGGGAGAAGCCTCCCATTGCTCCCAGCTAAGCAGGCTGATTCTTCTCACCCCCGAACCTCTCCCTGTAGTTAGTAGGGCCAGTGCTGAAGGTATAGAGGGAATGTAAGGCAGGCAGGAGAAAGCGCCCATGGGGTAGCAGTGTTGGTTTAGTCCCAAAAATTGGAAAAACAAAAGCCCCAAAGGAGCTCCTCAAACCCGGGTATTTCCAGAGGGACTGATCATCCGAGCCGGCGGATGTAGAGCAGAGAGAGCGGTCACTGAACCTACGCCCCATCAGCCAGGCAGCATCTAGGGTCAACAGCCAGGCCAAAAGGAGAAGAGAATCTGATTTATGGAGGGCTTCAGCCTGCCCCTCACTGGGATCTAGGAAAGGTGGGAGAGGGGTGGGCATCTCCGAGCTAATGAAGGTCCCTCCCAACCGGAGAACATAGAAACTTTTAGGTCCATGAGTAAGGATCCAGCTCTACCTGTCACTGATCCAAACTTTGTTAGGGCATGACTAATAACATCCTAACAACATATTAGATCAGGGAGATAAAGAGGCCTGGCCAGGGGTGAAGTATCATTGGAGAATTTATAAAATAATTTTTTGGGGGTGGATGATCAGCCTGATGAAAGAATCTGACCTTTTGAAAGGAAGCTGCTACACCAGCCCCGGCTTGCAGCCATCCCTTCTGCACCTAACCATAAGGCCTATTCCATTTACATAAAATAACCTGTCATCCTAAGAAAGATTCCACTGTGGGCCAGTAAAGGGAAAATCACCTCATTCTAAAGAATTCCCACTTTGAGCCTAACCTGGGCAACTTAGTGAGAACTTGTCTCAAAAAAAAAAAAGACTGGGGAAGTAGCTCAGGGATGGAGTGCCCCTGGGTTTGATCCTCAGTACTGAAAAAGAAAAGGAAAAAACCCCACTCAATGTTGTCCTTTCAGTCCTGTTATACTCTGCTCTCATCACTTGCAGGGGACAGAAGAGAGAGGGAAGGCCCAGGATAGAGGATGGGAAGGTCCAAGAGCTCAGGTAGAGAGGCAGGCATGCTTGTGCAGGAGTTTGCTCCTGGGCAAGGATGCCTTCCAGCTTGGAGCTTTTAGGGATGGAGCACTGGCAGGGACTGTTGCTACATGGGGCCTCATACAAAAGAAAAAGAGAAAGAGAGACATCAATCCATTCATCCACCTTAACAATTAAGAATAAAGAACATACAATGAAAACAAGTGCAATAAATCATCAGAATGAATGCCATTTTTACATTGTGGATCAAAGTCTCTAAAAGAGACTATTTTTTATAAAGTAGACAATCAAGGGGAAAGGGAAAATAAACAAAGAAATGAGTTGTAAAGGGAGACACACTTAATACAAGGGACCTACAAGGACAGACAGAGCTTATAGCAAGGAAGATCCACCAAAAGGACAACTATAAAGATATCCTATGTGACTTGTGCTTTATTAACCAAGGTCATGAGGTAAAACATTTTCCTGGTTTTCTGCCCCTTTTACTGTGTAAGCCAAGAAGAGGCCACAGACTTCTTAATTTGTGTATCAAAGGCTCCTTTCCCTATCCACCCACCAAAAAGGGCACCTACACTGCATGGACAAGGGTGATACAATCTCCTCATCCATGTCATCCACATCGTCAGTCATGATGAAATGGGCAGGGTTGGGGCGCGTGCTGCCCATCCAACTGGGGTCTATGTTGAGGGCAGTCACCAGCGAGTGGATGCCAGGGTTGTTGACAATCTGGAAGCCACAGAGGATCTCAATCTGCTGCCAGCGGTGCAGGCGTTCCCTGAGTGCTGCTGTCACCTCGCTTAGTGCTTGCCTAAAAACAGATGAAAGAGAACTGAAGGCATGGACTGGGTAGGAGATCAGTAACAATGAGGCTTCTTCCCCAAGAAAGAATTTGGAGATCGAGGTGGGAGCTACATAAGGTCAGGCAGGAGATCAGAGTGTTACTCTATCAGTAAGAAAATGGAATTGGGGTTAGAGGCCCTATATACACCTTCAAATTCTAAAGATGGTATGGGCATTGCCAGAATTGATAAATGGTGCTACTTACTTGGCAGTTAGAATTTTATGATCCACATCATCCAGGGAAGAGCTGTGGGCCACATGGAAGGTACCAAAGAGTGTGTTTCTCTTCTTTTTTATTTTCTCAGCCTGCAAAGATGAGGCCCTCAGTTTAAAGAGGGCAGGGATTAGTGGTTGGAAGAAATGAGAAGGGCCTTCCTGTGGCTGGATGCCCCTCTCAAGCTGTACAAGGAAAAGGAAGAAAAACAGGGAAAGGGAAAAGGAATAAAGGAATGGAAGGGGAAAGGAAGGAGAGAGAAAACAAGAGAAGCAAAAGGTTCCCCTGCCATGCTCTAGCCTCAGGAGGACCTCTCTCCCCATGGCAGTATGGGGCTGGCAGAGCTTTCCCTCTACCTGCTTCCACTTGCTTCATCTTTCCCAGAAGACAGTAGGGAGTAGCCCTACACCAGAAGTTTGAGGACATTATCAGGAGCTGTACATTAGGAAAAGAAACAGAACCCACCACCAGGACATCTCTTTGCCCAAAGGGAGGGATAGAGTGAGGCAGAAAAGAGGAAGAAGGGCAGGTAAAAGGGAGGAGGACAGGGAAGGGAGAAGAGGGAAGAAGGAGGGCTATAGGAGGGCAGGTCTCACCCCCTCTTTGGCCACCAGCAGCTGCTTCTCAGCATTTTGCTTCTTGATGTTGTAGTACTGCACCTCCACCTCATGTGTCAGCTGCAGCCACTTCTGCAGGGCCTCTGGAGCATACCATGAGCTGTGTGATTCCAGCTCCTTCTCTGCTTTCCTTAAGGCCTCCCGAACCTATGCAGCCAAGAGGAGTGACTCTGTTTACTGATTCTGCAATCTTCTCCAACACTTCTGTGTGATGCTTCAGAATTCAGAGCTCTTAACTGCTTTAACACTCTCTCAGGAGAGAGAAAGGCAAGAATTGTTCTCTGTATTTCATATACAAGGAAGCAAGCTCAGGGAAGGAAAGTAGCCCACTCAAGGTCGAGTGTCAGCTAGAACTCAAATGAGAGGTTTTTGCTGTAGGGCACTTTTTCTATCACATCCCCTGACCTTCCTGGTCATGCAGCCAGCAATCTTCCCTAATCTCTTCAGAAACAGACCAGCTAGTGAATCATTTTACTGAGAGTTTGCTTAGACCTCAGAATATAAAGAAAAGGCATTTGGTTGGAAATCTGGTTCTGGTCCCTGAACTTGCCATATGACTCTGAGCTTACTATAGCAGATCTTAATTCACTGTGGACCAGAACACCCTCCAATGCAAATCCAAACTATCAGTAAACTCAGGAGAGATATCCCTATCATGGAAAGTATGCGGAAAAAAATCTTGTCAAAGCAGTAGGTAAGGTTTGAAAATTACTGTCTAGAGATGGGATGACAATAAGTATGTCAGTACCTAACACAGACATTCCCAGCAGAGACAGAGAAAGGAAAAAGAGCTAATGCATAGGCCATCTCCTCTTGACTTTCTCTGTGAGAAACACAGAGTAAAGCAGATAGTCGTGACACACTCAAGCATAAAAGAGCTGAAAGTACAGAGACATTATGTACCCTGGATTCTGTGCTATCTCATCCAGGCTACCAGATAAGTGATCCCAAACACCTTCATCTGAACAATGAACTTCAGCTGGTCAGAAACCCAGAGAACAAGGATTGAAAGCAGTCTCATTATCCCGAACTTCAGTCACTGAGGCATGGATCCCACAGTATGCCAGAGGCTCTGCACAGCTTAGGTAGACTGGGAGGGCCTTAGCTAGAGACACAATACCATCCTTCCTTTGAAAGCCAATGAAAGCACCAATCTTCACCTGCATTATGTTCCTTGAAAAAAAACAACTATAATATGGCCCATTCCTGGTTTTATAGATTTAAAGTAAAGACCAAATACCTTAGAGACTAATATAGCAAACCTGAAAATTTCTGATCAACTTCTACATTAAAAGCAGTTAAAGGAATGGAATAAGCTAAGGAGGAAAGAATGGAAGAAGAGACAAGGGAGTAAACAGAAGTATGATAGTAGAGGAGACACACAAAGGTATGTCACCAGGTTCAACAACTAATGAGAAAAGCAACTACAAAACAAGGACTGGGGGACATCACAGGCAGAGAGACAGAGACACACATGCCTAGCCACACCTAAGTAACAAATGTGTGAAGGACAAAAGGGAAATAGATGGGCAAGTCAGAGTTCACTAGTCCTATTTTACTCTATGGTTGTAGTGCTAAAATCTTATCACATACTGGAATTACATGGGAAAAGTTCCCCCCCCATACACAACATTTTTTTATTGGTAAAATTAGAATCATCACACGTGGGAAAAATTTTAAATACTGATAGCTGGACCCAAACTCAGAAATTCTGATTTCACTGATCTGGAGTACTGACCTGGGCATCAAAAGCTCTTATTTTTATTTTTTTAAAAAAGTTTTTTTCTTTTTTTTGCTTTATTTTTCTTTTTTCACAAAAGCTTTTTAAAAGCTCAAGTCACAGCCACATGTGGTGGCACACGCCTGTAATCCTAGCATTTGGTAGGCTGAGGTAGGATCACTAGGAGTTCAAGGCCAGCCTAGGATACATAATGGGATATATAACGTCTCAAAACAAAGCAAAAACTTCACAAGTCATTCATTCAATTATGCAGCCAAAGTTCAGAACCACTGATACATGTTTGTAAATGGATGACTTCTGCTTCCCAGAAGGCCACAGTATAGGCATACATTCTGATTTAATACAACATCTACATAAACTGTTGGAAACTATGCAAATTATGAAAAATTAGTTTTCAAATAATCAGACAGCTATAGACACAAGTAGGAGTGGGTCTGCAGTTCTCTGAGAGTGATCCAGGGGTTCCTAGGTATCTCCCAAGACTTTCCAGAGCATCTATGAGGTCAAAACTATTTTCCTAATAATACTAAAACTACCTTTCTCACCCCTTTTCTCTCACACTAGACTGTACCAAAGGGTACATGATATGTGAAATCACAACAGTTTGAATACAAACTCTAATATAAGAAACTAGCTGTCTACTAAGCTATATATATTAAAAAGATAAGCAAAATTGTAAAAAATCATTTTTTCATTAAATTGTTTTTATTTTGGAAAATATAATCGTGTTTAGTAAAATATGCTGTTTGTGTTAACAGGTAAGGAGTTTAATATAGTTCTTTTAAGTGAATTAATAATTTTTTTGCCATTCCCTATCCTTCATGGAATACTTTTTTTAAAAAGCAGGGCCTAAAAAAATAAATATTTTAAATATTCTCAGTTCTACTCTCTAATGATAAATATCAACAGTATTGCCTCCATTAAAAATGTTAAAAGTAAAAGGGTCCTAAGATCAAAACATGTGAGAACCACTAGACTAGATGAATAAAAACCAAGAGAAGGAAAAGTCTCTCTAAGGTGAACTGATAGTTGTCAGTCATCATCTCCTGGAGGCATCTTACGATTCTACATGAAGCCTAGAATTGTGCTTGGCCCATGTGTTGGGGCACAGAGAAAACAGTCTAGCAGAACTGAATCTCCGTAGCCTTTCAAGAGGAAGAAATCTACCAGCTCTTAATAAAGAGTCAAGGAGGGACATAACTAAGGAACTCTGACCAACGAGAGCTGGACCAAACAAATCTGCAACCCATTTCCATCTCTGGCTTGAGATGATCAGATCCTCACTCTACATAGTACCTGTGTATGATAGAAGGTAAAATCTTCTGGAGCTTCTATTACTCTTTATACACCCTATCCAGCCTTTAATAAAAATAAATTACTAGAAATGAGAAGAGAGAAAAATATAGCCAAATATCAAGAGGAAAAATAAGCAGACCTATAAATGATCCAGATGGAAGAGTTACTAGACTTTCGAATAACTATGACAGATATTTTCAAGGAAATATAAGAAAAAAAACACACAACAGATGAAATATTAATTTTAGACAAGGAACTGAAATCTATAAAAATAAAACATATTCTGAAGTTAAAAATACATTATCTGAAGGAAGGAATCTATTGAATGGATTAAACAGCAGAATGTTCAAGGCGGAGTGTAAGATTAAAGAACTCAGAGATCAAAAGAAAATAGTCAAGTGCAAAGACCCGAGTTCAATCCCCAGTACCAAAAAAAAAAAAAAAAAAAAAAAAAAAAAAAAAGAGAAAAAAATAACAACTGAGCATATGAGCCATGTGAAATAAGTTAAAAGATCTAATATAAACACTAGATCCCCAGGAGCAGACCAAACGGAGCAGCAATATTTTAATATATAAAAAGAAAATGTGTTTTTCAACAGTTTTGCTAAACATTTCATACATATCAATGAGGTCAATGCTATTAACTATATTTTAAAATCTTTCATACATTTATTGATGTTTTGGCTGCTTATTATTGAAAGAAGTGGGTTTAAATTTCTACATAAATCTTTATATAAAATATTATATAGGGCCTGGGATGTAGCTCAGTGGCACCACACCTGCCTGGCAAATGCAAGGTCCTGAGTTTGATTCCCAGTGCCACAAAAAACAAACAAACAATAACCAAAAATGTCCACCCCAAATGTTTTTTAAATATTATATAAAGAACTCACAAATCTACAAGAAAAGAAAAACCCAATTTTTAAATGTATAGAAATTCACAAATCAAATGGCCAATAAATTTATGAAAAGATGGTTGATAATATTAGGGAAATTAAAATTAAAATCAAAATGAGATACAACTATATACCTACCAGATGTCTAAAAATACCAAGGTCATAGGTTAACTAGAACTCTTATACATTGCTGGTAGCAATATAGGTTGGTCCAACCATTTTGGAAAACTGGGACATTCTAATAAAGCTGGTAGAGAAATGCTCCATTACATAATCAACAGAATTAGATGTTTATGCCCACCAAGAGATGTATGCAATAATGTACATAACAGTGTTATTCGTAAAAGCTAAAACATCATAAACAATCCAAAAGTCTACCAACAAGAGAATTAACAGAAATAAACCAGTTATCACTACATACAACATGAATGACTCTCACATACATAATATTGAGTGAAAGAAACCAAACACAAAAGATTATATATGTATAATGACTTGTTTTGTTTTGTTGAGATAGGGTCTTTCAGTGTAGTTAAGGCTGGCCTTGAACTCACTATGCAGCCCAGGCTAGCGTCCAACTCATGGCAATCCTCTGGCATCAGCCTCCCAAGTACTGGGATTACAGATGTGTGCCACCACGCCTGGCTAATATCATTTTTGTGAAGTTTAAAATCAGAAAAAACTAATCTGGATTAGAGGTTGTGGCTGTCATTATCTTTAGGTGAAATATTGACTATAGGGGCAAAAGTGAGCTTTCTAGGATATGAAAAGTTTCTTTATCTTGATCTGGGTTGTGTTTACACAGGTTCATGCAGATGTAAAAGTTTACCAGTTACATACTTACGATTTTAACACTTTATGTAAATACCTCTATAAAAAGAAAAAACAGCATAACTCCTATCTTTTGTTCTTTAAAATCATGTCAACCATCTTTTGCAGCTTTCCCACTACTTTTATTAGGAAAAAACACACTGACTCTAGAAGATAGACCTAGAGCCATATTTCTAAGTCCTTACACATGAAACTTACCAGCCAGACCCTCAGCCTCTATCCTTTACCTACCCCAGAAATTTGTAGATTCTCCTACCTGCTCCAACTCTTCCTCAGCATATTTTTGGCGGCTCCGTTCATTCTCAGTACCCTCCCGCAGCTCCTTCAACCGCTGGGCTTCCTGCTTAGCAACGTTGATCTCATCACGCAGCTTCTTCTCCAAATGGACCTTCTCCACTTCCACTGTGCGATGCTCCTCCTGGGCTTTGTGCAGCCTGGGGGCAGCGGGGGAGATGGAGGAGCCCAGGCAAGGATGTGACAGTCAGCAGGCCATGAATCATGACAGTAAGAAGGAAAATGAGACACCTGCTCTCAACATATACAGTATTCTCCCTACTCTACTGATGTCTAACTCTGAACTAGATCAGGGCAAACAGAAACCAGTCATAATTGTAATGTCACATTGGCCATCATTTGTGCTTTGTTTTGTTTTTGTTTTTTGTACTGAGGATCGAACTCAGGTCCTTGTGCTTGCAAGGCAGGCAGCAGAACCACTGAGCTAAATCCCCAGTCCCTATTGGCAATGGTTTTACTGCTAGTAATCAAGGCTGTGGAGTCAGGAGTCAGGTTCCCATGCAACTGAATCCCTCCTCTAAAATATACACATCTAAAATCCTAATAACTACCAGTTTATAAGAGATTTTACATTAAGTTTTCCTGGCAGATAATAATGATATACAGTTAACATCATCAGCCTGGGACAGATATGAACACAAAGACTCAAGAGAGAAAAAATAACCTGCAGGAGAAACCGAGGATGGAATTAAAATCTTTGTAACTTCAAATTCCATAATTAGTCCTCTTACATTTTGATATCTAGAAGCTTCAATAAATGTAGACTATCTTGCAAATAATGCAAAATCCAGGAAAGATGTACTGGATATGACTGAGGTGGTGACAGGAGGAAGGCTTAAGGAGGACGAGTAAGAGATTATTGAACTATACCTCCTAGATTCCTGAGTGTCAGTTCCCAGAGGAACAGGAAAATGAAATTCATACCCAAGGGGGTGGGAAGGGGTTGAGAGAGTCCCTGCTGCCCCGAGGCCTAAGGATCTTACACAGTGAGTAAGTCCTCTAAGGTATCAGCTATAATAATCTACTCTTTCACCCACCCTCACATCCCTCTGTTCACTGCCAGAAACCTTCCATCTAACCAAGTCTTCTTCTTCCTTCCTCTCTTCTTTTGTCTACATGTCTATGTTAATTCATCCATCCACCAGTCCATTCACTCACCAAAGTCCATCGGTTCCTACTAAATATCAAGCCCTTGATAAGCCTAAATGTATGGAGATAAATAAGAAAACTTTCTCCAACTGAGCTCATGACCTAGTCTAACAAAGACAAGTAGACTCATAACTGTCTATAGTATGGTAAGTTCTACAATAAGGAGATATTCCTGGTGTTGTGTGAACCCAAAGGTGGAGAAATTAACTCTACCTGAAAGGAGTCAGAGAAGGGGAGACTGTGGGACTGCATAACTTTGTAATCTTAAGTAAGTTCCTAGTCTCAACTGTAATTAATGTAAATTAACAGGTGAACATTTAGTAGTTCTGGGTAAATAGATAAAGATGGTTTCACTCCTTGTCTTCCCAGAAGGAATGTCTTGAAAATCTTAGGACATTCTGTAAGCATCTTGAGTACAGACCCCCACCCTACCTATCCCCTTATAAAAAGGACCTCAGCCCCTGAGCTGGGGCCTCTCTGAGCTACTTGGCTCTGGGAGTGCCATCTGGCCAGACTAATAAAGGTCTGTTTTCCGACTAGTCTGGTGTGTTCCTTCCTGGGTGATTCTCACTACTCGTCAAGCTCCCGGAGCCTCGCTGAGCTATAGGTCCCAGCATCATGGAGGCCCTTTTTGGCTGTTCACAGCTCCCGGAAGTAAGGCCCTGGGTCTTGTGTCTGGAGCCATCATTGGGCTATAGGACTCAGCATCATGGAGGCCTTTTGGCTGTTCACACTCCACAGAGTGGAAGTGAGACCTTAGGTTTTACAAGACCTGTTCTAGACCCAGGAAAAGAGTAATAATTTACTAATCCCTTTGAAATAGGAAAGGATTTAGCTACTGTCCAGTCTTACTACCTTGGTAGGAGCTACCAACTAATGGACTAGGATAGAAGGGTAAAAGGATGGTGAGGAAGAGAAGAGATATGAGTTAGAAGTGAGGTATGGAAAAGAAAAGATAGGCTATATAACAAGAACTATCCACAGAGAAAAGCCCTGACCACTGAGTTAATTAAGAATATGAAACAGAAGAGGCAAATCAACCTTTAAAAAATGTGCCCTAGCCAGGTGTGGTGGTGTATGCCTGTAATCCCAGCACTTGGGAGGCTGAGGCAGGAGGACAGCTGCAAGTTTGAGACCAGCCTGAGCTACATAGTGAGTTCCAGGGCAGTCTGAACTAGATAGTGATACCCTGTCTCAAAAACAAAACAAATTCCCCCAAGTCCACAGCTGTCAGTGGCTGAGGCCTCAAAACATGTAGTGGAATAAGCAAGCAGGGAAGAGGAAGAAATGTTGGCTACAAGCTTCCGGCTGGCAACTTACCTACTTTAGCCTGGCAGAAAAGATAGTAGAACCTCCTCAAATGTACACCAGATGGCGCTATATGCAAGCTTTAAAAAATAACCCAGGCGGCGCCATTTCTACACCCAACTCTCCCTTGCTGAGTATCCTCCTTTATTATACTCTTCTTCCTTTACTGTACTCTTCTGTGACCCAGTGACAAGAAATTACACCAGTAGGTTCTTCACTGAAATATTGTGCTCTCTGAAAGCAGCCTCTTCAGAAAAGCCAATACTATGTAAGTCCTCTTTCCAACAGGACTCTTAAAGTAGAACTGAGCCTGACCCACTTCCATACTCCCAATGGCATCTAGAGGAGAGAGAGATCAATAAATACCATTGGTACTGAAGAAATGAGCAAACACATGTACAATCAGACCCTGCCTAACTCCAAGACAACAATAAATCAGCATTATGAAGCAGGAAATTAAGCAGCCTGACTGCCTGATTCTAAATCCTGGATCTAATGAGTAATGTTATATGTGGACAAGTTTTGTCTGTTTCTTTGTAGCAAGATGGGAATCAAAATTCTTGCCTCCTCAGAGAATTATTTTGAAACCCTGTAAAATCCTAACTGGAGTGTACATATAGCATTACATTTACTCACAAAATATCAGGAACTCTGTACAATAAAGCTCTGAGGTGTCCAGCAGTACAGGTCTATTAAAGTAAGAAGTGACAAGGTCACACGTGGGCTGGAGTGCTGAGCGTGGTATGTGTGCGCATGTGTGCAAGTGGGGGTGGGGTGGGAGTGGTGGGTGACACAGTAGTCATTAAGATTAGGAGGCCTCAGGGAGCAGCAAGGGCTAGGAGTTTAGTTTTAGCCCCAAACTTGGAATGCCTCCTGCCTAGATTCTTCTGCCTTTGGAATGAAAACAATACATATTTTTCAGAAATGAATAATGAGCACTGCTCAAAGTACAACATTTACCCCTAGTTAGCAGAGAGGGCCCAGGCACAGGAGCCCAGCAAAGTAACCAGGAATCAGCTTAGAGAGCAGACCCTTCTTGCCTCCCTAGAAGCCTTGCCCATGGAAATAAGTCTGGTATCAGAATTCCCAGCTTACTACTACCAACATATGACCCTCATCTAAGTACTTACCTCTTTCTGAGTCTTTATTTCCTCACTCTAAAATAAGGATAGTAATACCTAACTCCAAATGTCATAGTGATTAAAAAGCAATACTGTATTTTAGTACTCAACAAATTTCTGGCTTATTAGAAGTCCTTCCCCGCTCCAAAGAAAATACTGTCATTTTAAAATAACAGAAAAGACCAGATTTGATTTCCTTTCACAAGATTCCTGCAAAGACTTCCCAACTGGAGTCCCTAGATCGCAAGAGTCATTTTCTAAGTCAGTCCTGAAGTGGGCCTCTTTTACCTCAAACACAAAACGCCAAAAAACCTGTCCTGACTCTATTGCCTTTTGCATCCTACTAAACCTCTCCATATTCTCATCCATTTCCAAGGTCCCAGGAATCTGGCCCCACCCTACACACAACCTGTACTCTAAGGACCTCCCTACCCATCTTTCAAGGCCACTTCCTCAAGAGTCCCACATTCACTGAGCTCCTGAGTCAGAGTCTTTCTAGTCCTTAGGGTTCTAATCCTGTAAACTGGCTATGAATCTGCTTTAAGGGCGTCCTCATGCTCCTATCTTATGTGTGAGCTTAGTTGCTGAGATGGCAATGAGTTCCTTATAATTTCCAGTACAGACCTGGTTCCTGGGTGTCAGTAAGTATAATTGACTGAATGACTGGCACGCTCTTTTTACAACTAAATCTTCTACCATAGTTTTTAAATCGTTTTTTTTTTTTAACATAGTCCCAGACTATCTAGCAGTGTTCTCCTAGAAGATACTACAGTTCTCCTATGTCAAGCCTTTCTTACTGATGAAGAAATATGCCAGAAGGGACAGGATTTACACAAAGATATACAGGTCATATTTACGAGATTTAGACTCCACTTAAGGAGGTCTGAAGTTTCTTTGGGGAACAGTTCATTTTATCTATTTACATTGCATGGGAAGGGAAGCAACCCAGAGGCAGGAAGAAAGGTAGTATGACCTCTGAAAAGCCACCCAACCAGGGAATTCAAAACCACTGACAGGTACACATATATTTCTCCCTCTGAATAAAGGCAGACTCAAGTTCTTCCCCAGGAAGATTACCCAGGAAACTGGAATGGCAGAAAGCTACACTCCCAGTGCCGTTCTGGAAGGACAGCACAGCCTGGGTAGCCACGTCAGTATGGTCTCAGAGGCCAGGTGGCACACACCCAGTTGGAAACAGAAAGCTCCCAAGATCAGGCAGTACCAGGGCTGTGGGGAAGGGGCAAGGCCTTACTTACCTTTCCTGAAGGTCATGTAGACTCTGTTCAGCTCGGTGTAACCCTTCCAAATCTTTCATCATCTTCTTCATGTGCTCTTTGGAGTAACGGTTCTGGATATAGGCAAACCAGCAGCCGCCCACACCAATAACAATAGACACCACCAGCATGAAGTCCTTGAGGTGATTATGGCGGGTCACTGCCAGAGAGGGGAGGATATGGTGAGTCAGAGCACCTACAGTTCACTTGGCCTTGAAAACTCCCTGCATCCTCTCCCTGATACCTCCCCTGACAGACACATACTTGTCACATACTACTATATATCTCTCTGGTAATCAATTCTTCACTTGGAAAGGAAGGCCTGAGAGTAATACAGGCAGTTATGACCTCATACTTCCCTAAGACATAGTGATGAGGAGAGATTAGTGGCTCCTCAATGTATCCCAGCCATCCCTGGGTTGCGCTGAGCCCATGAACCCACAAGCAGTGACTTCTATCCTACAAGGTAAGCAACTCTAAGACAAAAGGAGATGGTAGGTATAAAGGGAAAATGTCACTACAGCCTGAGGGCTGCCTATGGGGCTAAGGCTACTGCAAGTGCTGGGTGTCCAGGACTGCTAGGGCCTTATAGGCACAAGGTCCAAATCCCTGAATAGTTAACGGTCTGGAAGTCTCAATCTACAGAGCATGTACCTAGACTATTGCTCAATTCAGAGATCAGACAGACAGGAGTAGCATCAATAGACTGACATATATGAGATATTATAAATGCCAAGAGTTGAGAGGCAGGTTACCTCCAGAGAATATCTGGCAAAAGGTGGTAAAGTGACAGGGCTCTTGCACACCTGGAGTTCAAAATAATATCTGGTATCCAAAGAAAATTTTAAAAGCTAAAGAAGGAACATCATTAGAAAGTAAAAGCAAAAGCTACTTTCCCAAGAACTTGGCTAACCAGGAGAGGGCCAGTCTTAAAGCCTGACATTATTCATAATATTCTAGTTCTGGGCTCTGAGCCGTAGCACAGGAAATTTAAAAGTGACATCACAAAGAGAAGAGGGCTGCCATCGCAGCCTGTCCAGGTTGTGCTTTGGACTCAGAGGAGCCATAGAAGTGGGAGTCAGGGAAAAAAAAGGCAAAACGGAGTTAAATCGGGACTAATGATCTTGGTGTACAGCGGGTCACCTTCAGGTATGGGAGAAGACAGGACTAGGAGGATCCCAGTGCCTGGCAAGGACAGTGGGCTCATGAAAATACAATCTCTACCCTTGTACAGCCACCAAGTTGAGTGAGGATCTACATACTAGGAAAAGATATATGTAGCTAAAAATTGTACGAAGCTGAATGCCAGTTTGACAAAAAGGGTTACATCAAAGCTCCTCACAGGAAAGCTAAGCAGCAGGACATGTTGATGGTATGGGATAAAAGAGCACATCCTACTTCCATCCAAGACAGGAAAGCTACTAGGTCCAGGATGAACCATGTCCTATACACATTTATGCTAAGCTTTCAGAGAGAAAATTCAAAGTCCTCTGGTGGCCATCCACTAGCCTCCGGGAAGGCCCCCACTTCTGGCTACACTCAAGTCATCAGTCTTCTGTCCTTCAGATTCCAAGAGGAGATATTTCTGTAGCACAGTGGGTAGCCTTTCTTTCTGGGACATATTTGTCTTCTCCACAGCCTCTACTAGAACCTGGTATATTGTCTCCCTGCTTGTTAAGGACTTCTAATCTTGGTTTCCTCAGGTATAACAATGCCAGAATCTCCTTTATATTCTTCACAAAAGTCCAAGGTACCCTTTTTCAAACAAGATTCAGTGAAATGACAACCTTCCTCCTATTATTCCCCAAACTACAAAATTCTCATGTGCCATGCAGATTGGGCCTAGCTATTTCATTCAGACTCTAATTCTACCTTATTCAGATTGATATGGAACTAAATCCTATTATTTTGACCAACTTTATATTCTCATCCAAGTCATGAAACTAGTGAATGACCAGGGCCAATAAAAGAATCTAACAGTCTCCTTCCAGCCCCCCTGCTTCTAAGGTAATACTGTTTCATCCTCTGGATCCCTTCAATCAGCTCTGACTCTATTTAATGAACAAGCACCTATTCTGTCCACCCCCTGCCTTGTCAAATGCACAGTTTAAGCCCAGGTATACTGTCTTCCACATCCCGTGAGCTACTAAGCTTGGCTGACTTACTCTTTATGGTTCCTAGTGATCATCACTTGTATGTATGCCTGTGCCCAGCACATCAACCTCCATAAGAAGGTGCTCGATAAATCTTTGTGAAATTGAATCTTTACTAATAAGCCTCAAGTGTGATAATATCTCCCTCCTCTTAATCCACATTAGAAAAAGGAAGGGAGTAGAGAAAAAATAAAATGCATCAGGCAATGATAGTCATCATTTCTAATCCTCTGAATACTGCAAATAAATTTTGGTAAAATGAGGTCAACTGTTAACACTACCAGAACTGAGGAGATGAAGGGTGTAAATAAAAGAAATGCTGACAACATATTAACAGAGCCCAAGGCAATGATGAAAATTTTCAGGATATCAGTTAAGACTGAAAAAGAGGGGCCAGGGATTTGGCTCAGTGGCACCACGCCTGCCTCGCAAGTACAAGGCCCTGAGTTCAATTCCTGGTACCAAAGAAAGAAAAAGAGAAACAGAGAAAGAGAGAAGGAGAAGGAAAGGAAGGAAGCCACTGGAGAATTTCAGGCCAGTGATTTAGCTCAGTATCGCCGCCATCTGCCTCACAAGTGCAAGGTACTGAATTCAATCCTCCCCCCAACGAAAAAAAAAAAAAAGAAAAGAAAAAGTGAGCCTCCAAACATTATCACCTTCTAGAATCCCCTCTCCCAGTCAATTCTCTCCACTCTCTATACTTCCCACAGTACAATGAGAGATACAAATATTCAACCCTGTCTTCCTAAATACAGGCTACAAATGTTTTTACTCATTTACACAGCCTTCTGTGTGGGGGTGGGGGTATCTGTTTAACTTGTAAGCGCTACTCGTGGGCACTCCTCCCTTCCAGTTATAACTCAACAAATGCTTTAGCTGCCTTAACTATTCATAGGCACTCTATAAGTAGCAATTCTCCCCAAAACCAAACTGGGCCAGGTCCCTCTCCCAAGTTCCCTCATTCAAGTCATCTGAGAGGTACGGCCTCCTGTATAACTTTTATATATATCTCCTGGTACCTATCATTCCTTGCTGAGACTTAAGATGAAAGCTGATGACAGATGAACAGCACTGCATCTGTGTTCAAGGAGCCAGTACAGGGTGAAAGCCAAGGAAACAGATTAACAATGAAAAAAAAAAGGTAAAAAGGGCTGTAGGTTTCCAGAGGAAAGGATGGAGCCTGAACAGAGAATAGAAAAAGCATCGTGGAGAACATTTAAAAGGTGAGCAGGAGCACACCAGAAGGGTGGGTGGGGAGGGGATATAGCAACAGCCAGCTGCAAACTCTGCCAGACAAGTGATCGCTCCTGCTCACTAGGAACTTTCCCCTATTATCCAAGTCACTGAAGAAGATAGCAGTCTTTTCTTTTGTACAACTACCCTAAACCCCAACAATTACTCCACAGGTCTCTTGCTGTCTTGGTGCCTGTCTGTCTTTTCTCTCTCTCTCTCTTTTTTTTTTTTCTCTCTTCTCCCTCTCCCCTCCCTTCTCAGTATTTCTGTTAAAAATAAAAAAGACATATTTGCCTCTACCCTACAACAAAGTATACAGCAGGCATACCATAGAAGTAGTAGCTAATAGTTATTTAGGAGAAAATGAGGCACAAAGAACCTTGGGAATGTGCCCAAAATTACAAAGTTACTTAGTGATAATGTTTCAAGGCCAGAATTCTTTATGTCTTATTTCCTCCAACAGAAAGAGAAGGTGGATAATACAATAGAAAACAGCATTGAAATATAAGTTAAAGGTGTGCGTTTGCTCATGGCTCTTACACGTAAAAGCTGAATGGCCTCTAAAAACCTACCTCATCTTTCTGAGCTTCAATTTTTCTGAGAAATTATCTGCAGAAAGTATAAAGTCCCTTCAATGGATATTTGCTTCCACATGAGACATCAGCTTAGGTCTCAAATTGGACACTGTCCTTCAGTGAAGACTTTGTTTCTCTAAACACACTTAACACCTAATAGCTGTCACTGTTCAGAGAGCCCCAATAGGCCTGAAGCCTAGAGCCACTCTGCAGAGAGAGGGAGAAAAAAAAAATACTGTAAAGGGCTATGTGCTGCTGAGGTCACCTGGGGAAGACTGAGATGCCCTCCACTGTCAGAAAGTTGACCTTGAGATGAAGGCAGTCTGATCTCTCTTCCGCCGTAGACAGGTGGTGCCTGCTCCCTCAGCAGGTCCTGTCACTGAGTACCAACTTATGATCCGCGATTTCTCAAGCCTCAGAGCAGTGACAGGATTTTCATGAAGGCTGAGCAAGGTGACCATGGCTAGCAACCACAACTGGCCTAGGTTTTCAGGGGTGTCTGCTACATGACTTATGGTAGGGCCTGAGCATCTGTGGTCTCTCAGCTTAGATTTAGAACTCAGGTCAGCACCAGCACAGACCATCACTCTAAGTCCTGTATGGTGTTGAAAAGAGAAAGAGGGATGACAAAAGGAAAGCAGGACCTAAGGGGCATGAATCAAAGGATTCTTTGCAGGACCATCAGGCATAGCCCACTCTTGCAGGAGTTTCCTGACAAGCAGTTTCCTTGTTTTTTCCTCAGGCTCCAGCTGGCAATTTTCCTTTAATAAGTATAAGTAGGAACACATAAAAACAATATTTGCCATCAGGACAACTGTTTGCTTCCAAAATCCTAGCTTCCATGAGTACACCCAACTCTCAGACCCCTTGAATGAGAGATCTAGTAAAAGCCTGTAAATTACCAAGCCCATTTCACACATGAAGAAACCTTAGTTAAGGCAGAATGGAAATGCCAGGTTACTTGATAAAGCAAGTACCAAGTACAGTATAGAATTCCCGTAACTACATGATGTAGATCCACAAGAAGAAACAGACCTCCAGTCTTTTGCACAAGATCCTTATCAAGCAAGAGGTTTCTCCTGCAAATCATGGAATATTACAGTAAAGGAACAGTAAGGATCCTTTAGCCCAATTCCTCATGACTCAAATCATAAACTACACCCTGAGAAAAGTGACCTATCCAAGGCCAAACAGTGGCAATTTTCAAAAGAGCCTAAGGATTCCTCACTGTTCAAGGTTCTTTCCTAAAGTCCCCCCACCCTGTACTGGAAATTGAATTCAAGATCTTGTGCTTGCCATCCAGGGCAGCACCACTGAGCTACAAATCCCCAGCCCTCCCTAATGTGTATAAAGAAGTTCTCAAAATGAAAGTCTAGGAATTATAAATTAAAGATGTATATGTCGACTATAGAGATATAGAGACTTTAAAATCCTAAAATTATCTTCTCTAAAATATACAAATCAGCCACGAGTCTGAGGCAGAAGGATTGCAAGTTGGAGCCAAG